TATTGGACCCAAGAATCACTAAATGCATGCGCATTAAGTCACAGAGCATGAAAAGGCATACTCATAGCGCTTATATCGAGTCGGTATGACAGATTTCCTAACCTGAACGGTCGTGAACTTTAACGCTAAATATCTCGGTTCGCGGGGCAGAGCGACGCTTATTTCTGCCAGATTCGTTCGTTTCATGCAAAAACGCATCGAATGAGCCTAATTTCATTAAAATCGGTGAGGTCGGCCGTCATCTCCGTAATTACCAAAGAAAGTATGGATAGTATGTCTACTTTCTATTTTGAACATTTACAACATCTAAAATTTACTATGTATACTTACGAATGGAATGAGACGTGAAACCAGTTTGCATGGAGAACTTCAACGGTTCAATGATTGTTCTTTTCATGGTACTGGAGTAGTTATTGGCTATGTTTATACCCAGCGACCTGATAGCGACCCGACCTATATCGTGACCCAAAGTAGGTCTAGTTACCAATTACCAACCGTTTACACCGAAACAGACTTAAAAATTGACGGGGTCGTATTTAGTCCACGCTGGTCCGAATTACCTAGAGCCATATCATGGCTACGTTTACACCGTACGCTTAATCCGCTAGCTATACGATAGATGTCTTTGTTTAACCTACAGGATAAACAAGGACATCTATTGTATAGGCTGCGACCTAAATGCACGGTGTAAACGTAGTCCATAGGCCTGTTCTTTTTGGCTGAACTTTTGCACCAGTTCATCTTTCTTTCTCTTCTTTCTTCCTGGAGAGAAAAGGAAGAAAGATGAACTGGTGCAAAAGTTCAACCAAAAAGAACAGGCCTCATATCTCGTATTTTGTACAAATCTCGCGTGTTTACACTGAGAAAGCAGACGACTATTTTAGGTCAGACCGCTAAAAAACGAGGTCTGACCTAAAGCTAGATCGGGTCATCTACCAAGTGTTTACAGCGTGGGGCCTAAATAATTTAGATCGAATTTGGGGTATAGGCCGCAGACTAAGCGCACAATGTAAACGTATAGCCATTGTGTGTGACTAGTCTTAGATAGTAATAATTAATTATTCGATAGTAACTGTGATTAATGTCCCGGTATCTCGGTTTAAATGACCCAATCTTTTTTTTCCATCACTCTGCATGTTTCTTTCTTTATCGCTTCCCGCTTTTTTCTTGGAAAGTTAAAATTCTTTCACGGTTATATCGCTATGCGAATCTCATATTTAGACGGACATTCGCTTACTTCTTCGCATGCTCGCATTAAACATACATTGTGCTTCATATCATGTATTCTTACAAAAAAATTAAATTGTCAAATCATTTTTTAAGAGTTATATAATTTAAATTCTTAACATTTATTTCTAAAACAATGATTAATAATTTTGTTCAATCTGTTTCTTCACGTAGTATATATAGGACTTGTTAACTACAAATTATTGTAATATTAGTAATTAGACCTTTCATGACTAAAAATTATGTCTTAGGTATAAATATTTTCCGGTTGTTGATCGCAAGTACACTTGATTCTACTCATGTGAGTGTACTTTTCTCATCGTATGCGTGCGAGGAAATGCGAGTATTCTGTACTATAGCAGTAGACTAATGATTCCGTCTGAGTGGGAAATTGACCACTAGGGTGCTGAAAATTTTCGTCCACTGGTCGAGAGAAAAACAGGGAAGAGAAGGAGAAGAAGGAAGAACAAAAGAAGAAAAAAGAAGAAGCATAAGAAAGAGAGATAAAGAGAGAAAAAATCTATTGCCATACAACTCATATTGAATGTTTTTCAGTTTTTCTATAGTGCTATGCATGAAACTTGGAAAATATATCCTTTATTATACAAGTTTCTCTGTATGTATGCACGATCATAATTCCATAAAATAAAAGCAACTTGTTTTCCATCATTTACAACCAACTTAATTATTGGGTTGGCAAGAAAGTGTGTGTAATTACGTTTTTTTTTTTAAAAAAAAGCTTGAAGCCAATTTTTTTGTATAACGAAATAACTTTGTTCAGTGATATATTGTCCATTATTATTAATGATCTTTTGTCATTTTTCTGGCAGCTTCATAATGCCTTGTTCATAAAATTTCTGATCCTTATCGGCAAAAAACCTAACTAAGTACAATTTGACATTATCATCATTGGTGAAAGTTTTCCCATTCAAAGAGTTTTGCAATGATCGAAATAAATGGTAGTCCGAGGGTGCAAGATCAGGTGAGTATGGCGAGTGTAGCAACACATCCCAACCAAGCTCCAATAATTTTTGCCGCGTGGCCAAAGATGTGTGTGGTCTTGCATTGTCATGATGAAAGACGATTCCTTTGCGATTCGCTAACTCTGGCCGTTTTTCTTTAATTGCTTCCTCCAGTTTCATTAGTTGTTGGCAGTAGACATCTGAATTAATCGTTTGGTTCCTTAGAAGCAGCTCAAAATACACAACACCTTTGAAATCTCAAATTGATAGCATTATCTTTTTTTGATGCAGTTCAGCTTTCGATGAGGTTTGTGCTGGTTCATTAGGCTTAGACCATGATGATTTTTGATTGGTGTTATTATAGACGATCCATTTTTCATCACCCGTAATAATTTGCTTCAAGAAAGGATCGATTTTATTGTGTTTGAGATGCAAATCGCAAATGTTGATTCGTTGTGTTAAGTGAATTTCTTTCAATTCATGAGGAATTCAAATATCGAGTTTCTTAACGACTCCAAAACATTTCAAGTGATTTTCAATTATTGTGTGTGATACATTTAACCTCTCTGCTATCTCCCGCACACTTATACGACGATCAATTATGGCTTTGATTTGGTCATCATCAACATCAGTAGGTCCGGAACGTTGGTTATCTTTGAGTGAAAAATCTCCAGAACGGAATTTGGCAAACCAATTTTGACACTGTCGTTCTTTTAAGGCTACATCATCATACACAGCATGTAACTCCTTATGAGCTTCAGATGCTTTCATTCGGAAACAAAAAAGCAAAACATGACGAAAATGCTCATTTTTACACTCCACGTTTAAACAATTGCTGAACAAAAACTAAATGTTCGATCGATGTAATTTTTTTACTGAATGAAGACTAAAGTACCAGCTATCAAACAAATATAACTTTGACACTTCGAAACGTCAAAGTACCAAAAACTTCAATCAACACCATGTACCAGTAAAAACCGCAATTACTTTCTTGCCAACCCAATAATTTTGCAAGTAATATCTAATTAAATATTTGGCACTTTATTCTATTTAAACAAAATTTCTATTTTGTAAATGTTCTGTTTATTCTATGAAAACAAAGTTTTGTTTCTTAATGAATCAATTATTTATTATATACAAACAACTTTTCAATATGGAAGAATATAAGATCACACATATAATAATATACCATTTAATTAAAAAATTCTGAATAATCACAATCTCTGCAAAGTATGTGTCATATATAAAGTTTATATTATGAATACAAATCGTTGTGGAAAGATCTAATCTTACTGCTATAATTGTAATCTCAATATTTATGGAAAGTTGCAATCAGATTCGAAGATGGCCAAAGGCGCTCACGCGATACTAACATAAGTGCAATTTGCGAGAACACCTTTAATATGCGTGTCGTATAAAAAAACATTAAGTACAAAAGAAATTCATCAGAAAAAAATACTTATTACAGTAAAATGTTATAAAGAGAGATAAAGCGAATAAAAAAAGAAAAAGGAATAAAAATAAACAAAATAAGAAATTAATAGCTGTATGCATATAATTATATATATATTGCAAAATTTATTTCTCGCTTTCCCTAAATTTCAAACACATCTAGATATGTCACTTTAAATACAAAAAGTGTATATATATATATATATTGCACACGCGCGCGCAAACTTCTTTACATATAAAGTCTGTTTTTTTAAAGACGTGAACTAGTATACATTTTTTGTATTTAAAGTGACATATCTAGATGTGTTTGAAATTTAGGGAAAGCGAGAAAGAGAGAAAGTTCTAGTACAATGCAGCAATAAAAAAAGAACCTATGCAAGTATCGTATGGTACGTTCCAATAATTGTACAATCATAATATTTAATATTCAACAAACAATTTTTTAAGTGGTTACTAATAAAAATGATATAAAAGGGCAATGAATTAAAGGGCATACACCACAACGCAAGATCTTAGTAGCGAAATTATAATTATATTTAATAAACTACAATATGAGATAAAATATAAACGTTTCGGCCTCAATCAGGCCTTCTTCAGTATAAACAAAAATATAAACTGGGAAGTTGTGTACAAATTTTTAAGCCGCTTGTTCTTATAAATATCGGTTAATTCGTCGTTAGAATTAAAATTACATAAATTAATTGCAGCACCCACTTAACATTCTCTCTAAAATTGTCTCTCGCAATGATCTTCTATATGAAAATTCTTTTATAATTGATCCTATGTGACGCAAAATTCCCAAGTTCTATTTAAAAAAAAAAGGGAAAATATTCTTTTAATCATTTATTGTCTATCATTAAATTATATGTATATAAAGTTGTTCTATACCTGTATCCAAGATCTCTTTCAAAAGGATGTACGCAAAATTATTATTCAAATATAGAGCGAGCTCGATACACCAAATTCGACTAAACTGCTGATATTATTCCGAGATGTCACACACACACACGCACGCACGCACGCGCGCACGCACGCACGCACACACACACACAC